GGGAGGGGTCGCTGAAGCTGAAAAGCTGGGAAGCTGCAGCTGCGCCAAACAGAGCCTAAGTGTATAGAAGAAACAATTTTGCATATGAATTATGAAATTTGATTGAATTTTTTATGTTATAAAAATTTCTCACTTTGAGCTTACAAGAACATAGTTTTATTTTTTTTTTTATTTTTCTATTTATGCGGAAGGGGAGGGGGGAATTTGCTTTGTTAATGATTTGATAAAGAGGATGTGATGTGTCATCACTCCCAGGATGAAAGTAGAAATCTTGAAGGACATGTCTGCTGCACCGCCACATTCTCACTAGTGGTCTAGCAAAAATATATAATCGTGATATTAAAAGAGATTTGAAAAAAATTATGAATCCTAACAGGAAGGATTTGATTACGAGACTGGATAGTGCATTATGGACATATAGAACTGCTTATAAAATTTCTATTAGAATTTCACCTTATTAGCTCATATATGATCATTCAATTAGGTTGGGATGAAGCACTCGATCAAAATCGCATGGTTTCGTCATCCCAGGTATGCATGGACTCTGGTCTACTTAGTCATGGGTTGCTACATCCAAAGTAACCTTGAAGGCTTTGTGAGATGTTTATCTAAAAGAACTAATTTGATTCGACCTTAGCTAATCGTGGACTTTATGCCTTATCAAGTAATTAACTGGTTGAGAAAATTACATACTACTTCTATGATTGTTATTTAATGATGTCATTTTGTCGCAACTTTCCAGTTAGAGGGCTCAGATCTTAAACACGTTTTTTGTGGAGCTTGTCGGCTAAGCCATTTGGACAGAAGACACGACCACGTCCTTACTAGCATTGATTGATTTTAGAATGAATTTACTGGTACATAAGGTGTGACACTTGCTCTATGTGAGCTTAAGTTAAACATATATTTGTCGCCCTTGATAAACTGGTGTAGAGTGTGGATAATTTTTGTCTTTTAGTTTTTAATGATTTTAAATTTAATATTTCATAATTTTATGTTTTTTGAATTTTATTTCATTTTTTAGCGAAATGAAACCCTAAAAATTTTACATTAAAAAGGATCAGACCTTATCAACACAATCGTACTTACAAAGAATTTGGTTCATAAATTATGATAGTTAATTTATTTAGATGTTTATTGCAACTTGATTTTGAAAGTAGACCCCTCAAATTGAAATCTTCTATCAACTTAGTCATCTTAGATGAATTGGTTT